ATGTCTGCCTACAAATACACAATCACTTGGGAAGTGTTTTGAGACAATATTAACAACAACAACAACAACAAGATTCCATTTATAAAGCGCCTTTCACGTCAGGAGGACGTCCCAAGGCGCTGCACAGTTGGGTCATGACCCGAGCAGGGGGAAATGGTCAGGGTGAGGGGAGGGAAGGGAGGAAGCGAGGAGGGGGAAGAGAGTCGAGAGGGGAGCTGAAGGCTCGGTCAAAGAGAAAGGTTTTGAGACCGGCCTTGAAGGAGAAGAGGGAGGAAGCAAGGCGAAGGCACTGGGGGATTAATATGATAATCCATATACCAAATGCTATGATTGTATTATTATTTGCCGGTCAAGTATGCCCCAATCATGTTCTCCACCTCAATTATAATAATTTGCAGACAGAAACATCCCACAAACAGCCTTAAAGCAATAACCAATTTTATTTGGGAGATCGTTGGCCTTGACACCGGGAGAAACTAACTTTTCTTTTCGAACAGCCATGAAATCTTTAACTGAATAAGGGAGAGGGGACCGGGTTTAATGTCTGAAGATAATGCAGCGTCCTCCAGCTTAGCCTGGGGTGGGGGGGTGGTGCGTCAGCCAAGATTGAGAGTTACATTTTTTCTTTATCGTTCTGTGCCTCTCAGACAATTCAGTTTCCTCCGATCAGGTACACTCAGAGTTCAAATAGATTCCTGACATTGATTCGTGAATGAGTTAAGTACAACACTGCACCAGAAACAGACAGACCATTCAGCCCAACTAATCTGTGTAGGAGTGTATACTCAACACCAGCCTCCATCATTCCTCATTCCCTCTCTTGTACCCCTCTATTACCCCTCCCTCATTTATGCATCAAGTTTCCTAATTAAATATGTTGATGCTTTCTGTTTCAATCACCACTTCCGGCAGCGAGTTCCACATTCTCCCCATCAGTAATGTTGCAATTACTTGAGGCGCTGAGAAATATTAAACCAAATCCACGTCTAACACTATACGAAAAGAGAAGGAAGTTTCTCCCGGTGTCCTAGCAACTGCCCTCCAGTTAAATTAACTGTTCACCTCATGACTGTCCATGGAAACCTGCTGATACAAAATGCATCAGACTCTCTTCACCCATATTTTCTACTACAACAAAAAAAACATGCATCTACATCGCTCCCTTCAGGTTAGACCTACGCTAACATTTGGACCACTTAAAGATAGCATCTCTCCGATAAATAGGAGTTTGTGAAAAAGTGCAGTCAGTGAATTGCACTCCCTCGCTCCTAACTTCTAAAGATGTGGTCAACAAAGTACAGATACGGGAAAAAAGATTCTAGATCTACGAAGGGAGACAACAAAAAACTGGTGGTCTTATTGATACGAGGCCAGAGCACCCGGGTCTCCTAACAGGTGCCAGAGTTGGTAATGGGCCGGACTGTGTGCTAGAGATAACCTGCGCTCAGGAATGTTGTGAATGGAGGAAAGGGTGAGGCTAATTGCACACTATCAGGCCGGTGAAATATGTGTTGGCCACAAGCAGCCAGGGCTGTGCATGCACTGTGCAATTAGCAGCCTGTGTCTGGGCAAAGCTACCGAAGGGCTGGGTGGTCAGTATCGCGTGGTTCAAAGAACCGTAGAATGTTCAGTCAGTCAGGGACTGTGAGGATGGAGGGTGGGGGCAGAGAGGCTGAAGGCCCCGACTCCAATGGCGGGGTGGGCCGGGCCAGAGGAGGGGTGGACATGGAGCAGGCCAGAGCCCCCTGAAAACACGGTGCATAACCCAATTCAACAGAGCCTAATCACAGTGTACAACCCAATTTGATGCAGCGCTAAGACAGAGTAAAACATAGCTCAATGAGTGCATAACCCAACTCAACACAGCCCCTAGCACAGCGTCTAATACTCTGCATAACTCTAAAGCAGCCTTTGAATGAATGACTTCAAAAGAATGAAGATATTTCAGCATTGAGTTGCTCTGCCCCACCTTTACACTGAAATGTATATCAATGATTAGATCTAAACATTCTGGATTTTGACCGAGCTGGGATATATCATTGTAGCAGTGCATTGCTAGGTAACGCAGGAACTAAATAATACTCACGGTCACTTTCACCAGAATACTTGAGGAATGAGGTAATCAATCACTTCAGGGCTTGGTAACTTGCAAGGCACGGCATTTGATGTGGGCTGATTGTTCAGTGTATCTGAAGAGATGTACAGCACCCCAACTGAAGCACGGCACCTCCAACATAGCAACGCTCCCACAGAACTGTCCTGGAGTGTCCGCCTAGACCGCGAGCTCAAAGTTCTAATGCAAGGCTTGAACCCACACCCTTGTGAGTCAGAGGCAAGAGTGCTACCAACTGAGCCAGCCAAACATGACTACAAACAAAATTTGTCTTTATTCCTGGGTTTCAGCGGCTCCCAACATTGCTAATGTCGGTAATTACCCAAATGGAATTAAAAGATTGGTGTAAACAGGTTGCTTGAGGAAAGACAAGATGGCAATAAATACCTTGTTATTTATTCTGTTTTATCCATGCCAGAACAGACACGATGGTATAGTTTAATTAGGGCTCTCAAAAGCGGAGCACGGTTACCAGGTACCAGCGGGTTTTCATTATGAAAGGAAATTTGAGAAGTTAGGGCTTTATTTTTTATAGACTGGCGTTGTAACAGCACAAAGCACTTCACAGTAATTACAGTCAAAGTTAATGACCGTAGTGAACATGGCCACCATTTTATGCACATCAATGACAGCCATGAAGTGAACGACCAAATTATTCTGGGCAACTGTTGACCCAGAGAGCAACGGCAACAACAACAACAACTTGCATTTATTTAGCGCCCTTCACGCAGGGCAGCATCTTGGAGCATTTAACAGTGGCGGAGCTTGACGCAGATCTGGAGGAGACATGGTGCACTGAATAACCTTCTTCTGTCCTGTGACTTTCTAGGGTTCGAAGACAGTAGGAGAATCTCCCTTCTCCTCTCCAATAACAACACAGGATCTGTAACTCCCACCTAAATAACAGCCGAGGATCTGTCATTGCTGCACTCCCCCAGCACCACACTGAGTGTACGGGTGGCTTGTCTGGTGGATTAAATGGATGGATAACAAGTCGACAGCTGTCAAAATAGTAACAGTTGGAGATCATATAGCCCTTTGGAACCTGGTTTTAGTGTTTTATTAGATCATGGCAGATCTTTTCATCCCTTTTCCTACCCTCTCCTCGTGTCTCTTTACACCTTTATTTCCTAATCCCTCTACGACTCTAGCATTTGTCTGTCTCTCTCTCTCTCTTAATCATCCCTATTGATTCCACTTCTACAGCTTTCCGTTCTTCCCAGGCCTGTGTGTGAAGAATTCGGTTCTGAATTCAGGCTGTATCCCCTTACCAAAGGAGGAACCAGATCTCTATCCATCTCACTTCTGAAACATCCCAATTTGTAGCTAATCCATTTGGTGCAGGACTGAAGCCCCTGTGATAAATGGGAGCAACACATGTATTTTGTAAAATGATTTGCTCATGGTGCCAGCTGGCCAGCCTGGCTGTGGAGGGTCAATATCATGGCTTAACTGATAAGCATTTGTTTCTTCAATATTACTTTAAGATGTCAGAAGGAGCGACGCACACACACACACACACACATGTAGAACAATGGGTGTTTTATGCGCACAACAAGGCTGCTTGAGTGCGTGGGACAAAGGCCAAATGTCATGGATTTACAGGGCAGTGAGCATGGCTTGGAGAAGGGACAGCAACAGCATCAACAAGATTACATTTGTATAGCACCTTTCACGTCGGGAGGACGTTCTAAGGCTTTTTTTTTTTGGTGGTGGTGTTGTTGTTGTTGGCAAGACCACAGGGCAACTCTGGTACCTGTGCAAATGCAGTAACTTAGCAGCCAATTCAATGCTTGCGGTTTCACGGCCTCGGGAATCGTACAATGTGGCAGCACATGAATGGGTTGGCAACGTGCTGACAAGTGTAAAGCAGAACTTATTCCTTCCCCCCAACCCTCCTTCACTCTTGGCACTCTGAGCCTGGAGCTTACCCTTAGATCTCAAACAAGATTTGGCTTGAGATGTTTTGTTGCCAGCAGTTCTACTACCAACCCATTGAACACAGATCTCAGGGTCACTTACCTGCTCCAGGTGTGTAGCACACATCACAGTGACAAACCCGACTGTACTGACATGGAAACCATAGGCCATTCAGCCCACCGATTGCTGATTTCCTTCACACAAGTCACCTCGTCTACAGACAGTCACTACCCTCTGAGTAATAATTCCTATGCAGCGCTTGGAGATGTTTCAACGATGCGATAAGGCGCTGTGTCAAATGCAAGGATTAATTATCATTTATTAAATCTAATGACACTCTAATGTCCTTTAATATTTATCTTTTTCAGGCTTCCGATTCCTTTCAGGATTTTAATACTAATAACCTTTGCATTTGATACAGCGCCTTATTACGTCATTGAAACGTCTCAAAGTGCTTCACAGGATACACTGTAAAGTGTAACACTCGAAGCAACAAAACCCAGAACTCAAAAACTGCTGATCCCAGCTTTTATTGTAAAATTTTACAGTACACAGTGAGCTTCTCATTACAAGTGCTGTTTACCGTTCATGTTTGTTACTGAATAAATAAATCATATTCTAGGTACGAGCAAATAAAAGAACGAAACAGCAACTAAAAAAAAATAATCACACGCAGTCAAAGGCAAACAAAGAAATTCAGTTAAATAAATAAAACAGGTATACCACACTCAAGTTTTGTAGGAGACAGCAGAATAAATAAAGAGTTTAAATTATTTTTTCTTAAAAATAAGGAGAAAAAAAACACTAGTCTTCTATTGGACAAATCTAACCTAAAAGATTTTACAAATAGGTATTTGTGTGGACTCAAAGTCAGTAAAATAACAAAGATAAACAGTGCTGTGCAAATCACTTTCATTATTTGTTTTTTATAAAAACCTGGATTTGAGAAAGGAGTTTCTCTCCTTATATTGGGGGGGGGGGGAGGGGGGAGAATAAAATGCGCTGTATGATGCCAATTGTGTGCAAAAATAATCCAGGCAACGAGCATCACCACATTTATTCCTAGTTTATGGTTTATGGCATCACTAGTCTTGCCGTTACACCACGGCATATTACTGCACAGGCACTCGGTGTGTTGGGTGGGGGGGGGAGGGAGATGGGGGGTGGGGGGCGGGTAATTAAGGCGACCCTTTGAACATGAGACAGATGTGAGACTTCCTATTGATACACAGACTGTTGTTGGCAGTATATTTTGGGAGATTAGAATTGTGTACGGTACATGATACTCTTTTCTGCGCCTGCATTGTCCAGCGCTCTGGGGCATCTTTCTGACTTGAAGGGCAATATACAAGTATAATTTGTTGTTGTTATTGTATTTATTTTCAATGTTATTTCCCTGGGATTCATCCACTGTTGGAAATATCTGCTGCAGTCAGTCAGAATGCTCATTCAATGTCCAGCAGCTGAACTTCCAGCCGGTTAAACGTCCACCAAACTCAATTTGATTTCAAGCCACCTTTGCTTGGAACGAGGAAAGCAAACTCCTCATTTGTGGAAGGGAAGAACATTGTCCAATGGCTCCTCAGCCATTGCCGGTTGACATATGGGCCAGTGGTTTATCTCTCACACACGACAGTACAGTGCAATGCACCCGTTATCACACACTAACCAACAGCAAACCCAACCACCAATGCACGGGTTTAACTTGTGTCCCATAACTACCTTCATAGCAAACGCCATTGCCAATATCAGAGATGGTGCAACTGGATGAAATACCACTAAAAAGTATAAGGAATTATGTACAGCCAGTATCAAACATGGCGGAATTCAATTGTATGCCGCCAGCGTCAAAGATGGCAACACTCTCACCACGACAGAATTCACTCATTAGGGATCCAATCAAAGCCGTTCGGATTTGGGCAGGCAAGAAACGTGGGCGGGTTCACGCTTTGACCAGGGATGGGTTGCTTGGATTACCATCTCGCACAGATCAGTACTGGCATTTAATATGCACCAAAAGAGCTAAAACTTCACCCGAGATGAAGGTGATAAGTTATTGGTGGAGACGTCCCACCAACCATCAAGTCTGGCTCTTTGATGTTGTTTTTGTTGCCTGTAATCGCACGTCACTGAGAGTCACTGCAGTCAGTAATCATCGCTTCACATCGAGACATTCTGTAGATCGATCAGTTGGTCCTCCAGAAGTTTTTAAATCGGACGGGGAATAAAAGTGAGCAGAAGTGAGAGCCTACAAGAGAAAGTCACTGAAGTTGATGATCATAAACACCCTCTGCGGCTGGTGATGGGACTGTAGCCCAGACTAGTCTCTATTTACTGATCAGACTCGAAGAGGAATGGATAGAAGTTCCACCTAATGAATGAATGAATTCCCTCTCCCCACACACATACTCACACACACTGCACCAGCCGAGTGTCACAACAGAGAACACAGCAGCCTTAAAATCATGCAAGTACTTCTCTTTCTCCCTCCCACTGCCCCAGTCTCTTCTGCACCCGTCCACCGTGAGTTCCAAACACAGGAAAGAGGAGTGACTAGGTAATGTATTCCATTCGTTCCCTTTTTTTTTTCTCTTTCTACATTATTAAAGATATTTCTTCACATCTCTAGGTCCCACTGGAAAGTACTCTCTTTCTCTCTCTCTCCACGTAAGTCATCCTAAGTCTTATTCAAGTATAGCGAGTCCTTTGGGAAATGTTGGAAGTTTTTTTTGTGCCATCTTCCTGTTGGGTTGTGGTGGACAGTAGAGCTTCATGCTTTATACACCCCGAGGCTGCTGGCCTGCTCCTGTAATCCGAGGATGCTGTAGGCAATCCGTTTCTGGTGTCCGGGTAATCGAATCCCAATATTCTTTACATCCCTGAAGAGGAAAAAGGACGAAACGGGATCAGAAATGGGATATTTTGCCCATAAAATGTAGCCACTTCACTTTACAGTATATCCTGCCAAGCGCTTTAAGACGTCTTGAAGACGTGATAAGGCGCTGTATCAAATGCAAGGATAATTTTTATTATAGAAGACGCCAAACAAAAATCAGAATCCTTTCCTTCACAACCCGCTTCCTCCACATACTTTCAGCAATTACCAGGGTTGTTGTTTTTTTTGGAAAGATTTCACTTTCCTCTCTGCGTAGATGCTGTCTGACCAGCTGAGCGCTCCCACCCACTTCTGTTTTTATTTCAGATTTCCAGCCATTGTGGTATTTTGCCTATCGTTTTCAGGGGTACAGGGGCGAAGGCAGGAAAACGGGAACAAAAGCGATTTGCTCCTTTCAAAGAGCCGGCACGGACACGATGGGCCGAATGGCTTTCTTCTGTGCTGTCAAGTTCTCTGGTTTCCCGGCCGGTCTCTCCGTGCGAACGCACTTACTCTGTGCTCAGCTGGACAACGTGCTCCATGGTGCTGTATCCCGCGGTCACGAAGTTCTCCTGGTATTGCTGCATCTTAATGGAGTCCAGCCATTCGCTAACCGTGCGGAAGATCATACCGTCTGTGCCGCTGGTGCTGGGCAGGCGGATCGAGACTCTGCAGACAGACGCGAGACACGTTAATCGTAACAATCCTTGCATTTGTTGTAGCACCTTATCAGGCTGTTGAGACGTCTCAACGCGCTTCACAGGATTCGCTGTGCGTTTTGTGGGCCAAACGCGGTGTCTCAGAAACAGTCGTACATCAAGTGAGCATAATATTTTTTTGGATGGCTTATTACCCCCCGGGAAAGTCACACACACACACACACACACAACCCCACCCCCCGTGCACTGGCTGGGAGTGACCAGCCAATCGCAACGGGAGGGAACCCCGATAAAATCATATACTATATTATTATTTACGGATATATTTAAAAAAAACTGTCAAAAGTCTTACAGCTTCTAAACACAACTCCAGGGGGAAATGGTCTGCGCAATGCACAGAGTGACACACACACCCGAAGCTAAAGGAACAATCAGTCCATCTGAGCCAGAGAGGGTTCGGGTGTCCTTTCTGTCACTTCAATCGCACGTTTAAGGTTTTTTTTTCCCCCCTAGTCCTGAACAAGCCCAACAGACTTCGAGTGCTGGGCCACAATGGCATTTCCCCTCCCAGCCATTCTGCAGAAGGTTTTCTTTTTTGCGGTTTCCCCATTGTTCGTGCACCTGGAGCAGAGGAATGTCAGCTATGGTCTGACGGGCCCAACAAACACAGCGCTGGAGCCGTGCCAGGGGCAGGGAAGGAAAGCAGTTTTATAGCTCCTTGTTCTGTGAAAATTCCCCCACAGCACTTTACAGTAAATTGGCCGCTGCGGTGACTTTTTTTTGTGGGCAAAACTTGGGCGACCATTTTGTGCTCAGTGATAACGCTTCCCGCGAACAGCTGTGAGGCGAACGAGCAATTTTACCTGGAGGATTGTTGGCCTGGACGGGGTCGGGGGAGGAGGAGGAGGGATGGTAGAGAAACGCCCTACTCTTTACATATGACCTTTTACCGCCCACGGGTTTTAAAGTGCAGACGCATTCGAAGTTTGAAACTATTGCAAAACTTTTTTCTCCCCCAATAAAAACCTGGATTTGAGAAAAGAAACCCAGGGTGCAGAGAGGAGAAGAGGTGAGATATAGGAAGTGGTGCTGAGGTGGTGGGTCTCAGGGTGGGTTAGACACACAGTGTTCTTGGGATCTAATGCCCTGGAGAAGAATAAGAACAAGGGAAGAGCCAGGACGTGTAGAGCAACATACCTGCAGTCTGGGTAGGGCAAGTCAGGAAAGTTCAGAGAAACAATTAATCAGTAATGATTAAACTGAGAATAAGGGAGGCGGTGAGATAAAGGGAGCGAGAGAGAGAGAGAGTGACATCTCAAAGCCCTTCGCAGAATATACTGTAAAGTGTAGTGACTGTGTATTTTTGTAGGTGAAAAGCAGCAGCGACTGGCGCAGAGCATTGTCCCACAAATAGGCGTGACTTGGGTGACCAATTATTTTTTTTGGGGGTGAGGGTTCTCACTGGGAGGTTCTCACTCACAGCTGTCAAGTCAACCAGCCCAGCCCGCATCACACTTACCGGGGGTCAAACTCGGCGATATTCTTCAGAGACTCGGGGTTGCGGATCAGTTTGTCGAGGATATTGACGACGTCGCAGAACTTGGGTCGCTTGGCACGCTCCTGCTGCCAGCACTGCATCATCAGCTGGTAGATAGCGGACGGGCAATCCATGGGGGCTGGCAGCCGGAACCCTTCATTGATCGATTTCATCACCTGCCAAACAAACCGTGCTCAGTGAATGCTAATAATAATAATAATAACACTCGCATTTGGTGTACAACATATAGGGTAGTGTCCGGAGAGACTAGCACGTCATTGAGACGCCTCAAAGCGCTTCACAGGATATCCTGCAAAGAGGATCGACTGTAACTTGTGGGCAAAACGTAGCAGCCAATTGCGCACATCAGTGTCCCACGCACAACCATGGATTGAATTGAGTGACTTCTTTTTTTTTCAGGGTGGGGGGTGTGGGGGGTGTTGGGGGGATTATTACCCACGGAAAGCAATGTAAAAATGTAAAAGAAATGTAGAAAATCCCTGAATTATAAAAGATCAGCTTCTAAGGTGGGACCTGGAGCCACGATGTTCTGACCCAGGGATGAGGAGATGCCAATCTCATTATTTTGTGTGTTCCGGTTTAGTTGTTACTTGATTAATAAAGTTAACGGGTCCTGAATTGAGAGCCACAGATGAGATCCTCTGCCCGACTGCCTCCCTCACCTCGTGGTTGGACATGTCCCAGTAAGGTCTCTCCCCGTAGGACATCACCTCCCACATGACGATGCCGAAACTCCACACGTCACTGGCCGAGGTGAACTTCCGGAAAGCGATGGCCTCCGGAGCCGTCCACCGAATGGGGATCTTTCCTCCCTGGAGACGAGAGAAAAGAAAGAAACGTTAGAGCGCGACTGCGGCAAATCCCGGGGGAGTCACTCGCTCGGTCACTGGGTGCTGCCCGTTCATTAACCTGCAACAACAACAACTTGCATTTACCGAGAGCCCTTCTCCTCGGGTGGCGTGCTGGAGGCTTGACAGCAGCGGGGTCTGACACCGAGCCAGGGGGAGGGGGAGGTGACCGTAAGCACCATCAAAAAGGAAGGTTTTCAGGTGGGATTTGAAGGCGGGTAAGGAGGAAAGGAGGGAGGGAAGGAGGGAGGGAGGGGGCAACGCGGAGGGTTTGAAGGAAAGTTCCACAGTTTGGGGGCGTAGTGACTGCATGGCTGTTGTGTGGGGTAACCGGTAAAGAAGCTGCTGGCACAGGGCTCCGGCTGTCCCCGAGACAGACTGCCACTGAGCTCCGAGAAATCTACTCTCTGGCAGTCAAGTCGCTCGCGGCCAGAGAGGAAGCGATGATGTCGTCCCACAAAAGACAGAGCAGAACAAAATGCTTGTCGAGACAAAAGCTTCATTCACTTTCTCGAACATCCCTAAAACCACAAAGTCAATTGGCACTGGCAGGATGGAATGGGGCGTGAAGGAATCCAGGGTTACTGGCGATCTGTTTGCTGGGACTTGTACCTAGTGACAACGAACAGGATTTACTGACTGGCCTTGTGCACTCTTAACATTTTAATAAAACCACAGGGATTGACAGAAGGCGGCCATTTGACACATTTCCCCCCCTTGGGTAACTTAACCCGTTTCGGTTACATTTCTCAGTTCTCCATGAGATTTCCCTGCCATGGCATCTCCCTCCGGCTTAGACCTGCTCTTCAGAGTTCTCTTTGGAAATTCCCACTTCCCGAGTGCCCGCTTATTATCCCGCAAACACAGATCCAGCTACCCACCGGCCAACTGAGCCAGGCTGACACCTCGGACAGATCGCTTCCCTCTCAGCCCCTCCAAAACTCCAGTAACCCTAACAGGTTAGGTGGTCGCAACTGGCTAAGCAGTGGGAAAGCTTGCCAGACAGCCCTCAATGGCAAGCTACGTGGTTTTAGCTGGTTACATACCAGCAGTTACCCCAACACACGCCTCTGGGTCCCCCCAAGCCTTGGCACTTGCCAACCTGCACCTAACACTCTCTGCGATTAGGTAACCCAATGACCCCGGGGAAAGGCAAACTCACGCTGGTTGTGTACGTGCCCTCATCCTCATCCTCCAGCACCCGGGACAGTCCAAAGTCGGACACCTTGCACACCAGCTGACTGTTGACCAGGATGTTCCGCGCCGCCAGGTCCCGGTGCACGTAGTTCATGTCAGAAAGGTACTTCATCCCGGACGAGATCCCGCGCAGCATTCCCACCAATTGGAGGGAAGAGAATTCATCATCGTTATTCTGCAGCGTGGGGAAGAGCAGGAGAGAAAAAAATGACTTTAATGAGATTCAGAATATTACTCGCTCGCTCAGCATTTGCCAACATTTTTGAGACATCCTCCCAACATGAAAGGCGTGGTACAAATGTTAATTGTATTGTATTTGCCCCAAGGCTCTGGCATTCTCTGTCTCAATCCTTCCAAAGATTTATCCAAAGGATTTGTTGCCCATCTTAACCATACGACAGCACCTCAAATTCCTGCCCGGGAGGTGGGTGGGGGCTTAAACTCACAACTTTCTGATCCAGGGCTACCAATTGAGCCAAGTTGACCATAAGGCTGAGAGAGATATGTGCCCATGGTCAAGCAGGAAAATATCAATTCCAGTCTGACTTACCCGGAGGTAGGTGTCGAGCGCCCCATTCTCCATGTATTCTGTAACAATCATCAGAGGTTTGTCTGCAAGGAAACAAGAGAGAGAAGACACCGAGGTAAGACAATCATTCACGGACCCATTCCTGAACAAATCCCAAAGTTTTCAAAAATTTGCAATAACACTGTTGCTTTCAACAAAGGATAGTTTTAGTGATGGTAATTAACAGGAATGGGTTTACCAGGTGGTTAAGGCCAGAATGCTGGATATATATATATATATATATATATATATATATATATATTTATCTCAATGGTATAATGAGGTCAGTTGGGATGGGTATTCTGGAAGGATGAGATCAAAGGGGCCAAAGAGTCTTCTTCATCCAAACCAATCTTATGATTTCTCATCAAAAAGCTTTAAAAAGTCAATGCTGATCAGGGAGGAAATGGTTGGGTGGAGGGAGGGGGGGGTTAAGGATGTTGATGAAAGACACAGTCAAGAGATAGCAGGGGGAGGAAGCTAGCACAAGACAGGAGCTCACGGGCTGGTTGGTTACTCACACTTGGTGATGACTCCCTCCAGATGGATGACATTGTGGTGACTGAACTGGCCCATGATGCTGGCCTCACTCAGGAAGTCGATGCGTTGGCTCTCAGTGTAACCGGCTTTCAGTGTTTTGATAGCCACGCTGATCTCCTTCCTCCCTTTCTTCAGAACCCCTTTGACCACTTCCCCAAATTCACCTGTTTCAAGCAAAAAGCAGAATAAGTTATTGTAAGCAGAGATTTAGTGTGGGCGGAAGCGAGAGATGGACTAAGAGGTTACTGATGTTGTCCTGAGACATCTGGGGTCTAGTTTAACATCTCATTCGAGCACCGGCACCTGTGCCAATGTAGCTGCACCGGGAAACCTGCCAGAGCAGGGAGAGGACAGACATCACTGAGCCCAGGGCTGGCACCGATGTGGGTTCAAACCGACACCAACAGCCACCCGATCAGCGCCGAGCAGCTCTGAACAACGAGCTGGTGGCATGGCTGGCGTTTGCTACCCACCGGGGAGTTGGTGTGGTCGCTCCGGGACGAGCGCGCGGGGCTGGTGGGAAACGTACCAGCTCCGATGACCTTCTGCTTGCTGACTGCTGACGGGTGGATCTCGTCGGCAAACTTGAGCACAGCCTGGTTCGGATCTTCATACGTGTGAGGATCAACGTAGGTTTTCAGAGGCTTCAGTTGATCTGGAGAAACAGAAGAAGATGGTGTTGGGGGCGAGGACAATACAGGTGGCTGCTCTGGATTGTACCGTAAAGTGAACTTTATTGGGCAAAGACACCAGCTGATTCGCACACAGCAGTGCCCCACAAACAGCCCTGAAGCCAATGACCAATTGGCCGCAAAATGGTATTCATACAAGTCAAGACTCACCAGCCGATTTAGTGAAGTAAATGTCCTCAGGACCTTGCCGGGCACGAGGGTTGCGTTTCCTAATGAGAGGATCAAAAAGACAATTAAATTAGCGGAGGGACAAGAGGGTCAGTGACTGGAGTCCAGGCATCGCACAAGATGGAAAACTTTACTTCATGAGATCTCAGACACAAGAAAGAGAGCCACAAACTGAGCTGAGTTGAGACAAGTGCAGACAAACTGATAATGGTTTCAGCCCTGAACGGGATGAATGAACACGAGTGATGGACTCTCACCTGCGTCTAATGTACAGCACAAACACCACCAACAGCACCATGATAGCTCCTCCAACCAGCATCCCCACAATCAGCACCGTCACGTTAGACTCTGCTGGAAGAAAAGGAGAGAGTTATGTTTACTCCTGTGATACCTGTGATCCCTGACACCACAGGCAAAGTGCCCGATATTCAGAAATACAAGTTGTCTCGCTGTTATGCAATATGTGCCATTTGTTAGTGACGAAAGAGAGGAGGATGGGTGGGGGGGAAACCGAGGCATTGAAGGAAGGCAGTCCAGAGGGTAGGGATAATATGACAGACAGAAGGTGGCGATGGTGGAACAGAGGACGTGCAGTAAACCTGAGGCTGGTGAAAATCAGAGAGAGGGAGGAGGGAGGGAGGAATAGCAAGAGAGCCTGAAAAGATCTGTAGGTGGTGGGGGGGGGGAAACAGAGGGGGGAGAGAGCGATCTCAGCGAAAAATCATGAGGCTCCATCACCTTCTACTGGGAGAGTCTGGAACTCCTGCTCGGAGCTGAAGCTTCCGGCACCTTCCGGAGTCAGGACCTGCACCCGGAATGCGTACACTGTCCCCGGGAGCAGGTTGGAGACCTTGACCTCCTTTCGCTCACACCTCAGCACCGTGTAGCTCTTCTCATCCACCTGCAACAAGGAGGGAGATTGTTAAGTAAGGGGTGAGGCAAGCTGCTAACTCCCAACTCCTACCAATCCCAAGCCGTCGAGGGTTTCTAACCCTTTACCCTGGGGTTCACTTTATTTTCAATCCACTTACAGTATATTCTGTGAAGCGTTTTGATACGTCTAAAGAACCCGATAAGGCGCTATATCAAATGCAAGGTTTATTATTATCATTAACATCCTTTGTGGGGGTTTAGTTTATTTCGGGGAGGATGTAGCCCGTTGGGTTACCCTGAATAGATAAGAGTGGAGTGTGGGTTTAGTACGTCCTTACCCTGTATCCCTTGATACCCTGACTTAACAAATATCTATCCACCTCAGTCTTGAAGGTGATGTATCCTGACGGGTTCTGTCGCTCTCGCTGTTATCAGTGTAAGAGAACATCGGATCATTCTGTGCTCGGGCAAAGCTACTTAACAAACACTTGGGGCTTCATCGCTACAGTGCTTTTCACACGGAAAACGCTTTGTTGGACGGGATGAATTATGAACGAAGTGAATGTTGTCACAGAGGCCACACTCCCTCGGGAGGTACTTTCATTAAAGGGAAAGACAAGTCCTGAAACCTGGCCCATTGTTATTTTGAATGAGTTTCCATCCCAACAAGGAATGCTGCTAAAGAGGTGCTAAGTTTCAACCATTATCGTGTGAACAGTTTTAGGTGTGAACAGTATTAGGTGTCAGATACTCAACTGGAATGCGCTTTACAGTGGAAGAAATTGGAGGGTGCCATTTGTGTAGCTGGTTAACTAAGCTTTAATAATAATATAATAGTCCTTGCCTTGAGTGAATGAATCCCAGAAAAATTCCCCCTTTCCAAATCGCATGATTTGGAGCCCCGTAAACCATTTGAGATCAGCGATCGAGACGAGGAGTTCAGATAGAGAGAGGTCTAACGTGTGACATTCTCTACTGGGTTTGTTTAACAAGGAAACCAGAGGAACCAAGGACAATTGAATGTTCTCACCCCAGTTATCAAGCCCGTGACCTGCCGATGCCAACATTACTCAGCGCTATTAAAATAATAAACATCAACATTCCTTGAATTTGATTCACCTTTCACGTCACAGAGCTTCGTAGGAATGGAGTGACTGTATTTTATAAGCGTACACCTAACAGCTAATTTGGGAACATGGGAATTGCCTGGCGAAAAAGGACCAAAGTCCACCTCATTCACCTTCTACCACCCTGGCCATCGTTTGCTACAATCATGGAGATATTCCTCATCTACTGTATCGCAAAATATTCTTTTGTAAATCTAACTAGTTTGCGTTTGAATGTTCCACTGTTTCCGTAGGCAGCCTGTTCCATAGATTTACAACTTTCGCTCACTGAAATAGTGTTTCCACAGATTAAATTGCTACAGGATTTTTACCATCCACCTGAACAGGCAGATAGGACCTCGGTTTAACGTCTCATCCAAAAATGCAACGTTCTGCCAGCAGAGTATTGGAATGTCTATGCAATTCCAAAGTCCCGACACAAAGTTACACTGAACACGGACAACACGACGATCCACTCTCCCGCTCAGACCTCAGAGCAACAACGGCTAAACTGTGCAGTCAACTGATCAAGCGGCAGCTCTCAAGGAGATGGCTCTTCAGTGAGCGATGTTCTGCGGCAACTGGATGAGGGTCTGGCGGTGGACGGACGGATGGGTGTGGGAGTGGGGTGTGGAAAAGAGAGGCAAAGATCGGCGGGATCTTTCACTCTCTCCTCACGCCTCTGGCCAAGGTTACAAAGGACTCCATTCTCACCTTCTTTCTGTACATGACCTCGAAGCCAGTCACGCTGTTCATCTGTCGCCTGGGCAGGGTCCAGGACAGGGTCAGGCTTTCGGTTTCCTGCTTGTCCAGAGTGATCAAGTCGATCTTGGGAGGTTCTGAGGAAGCAGAAGTGTCAAACCTTTGAGATGAGAAGCTGGAGAGAGTACGGACTCACGTGATAAAGGGATCTGTAGCAGGCGGGGGGTTGGGGGGGCAGAAAGGGGGAATAGACGCACACACACAAACAACATGCAGGGCAGCGTCTCCAGAGCGACAAGCATTTGCACAAACTCAAGCACACGCTACACGGACACCCCACACACACCACACGCCACCACTCACCGGTCTGGTTGATGCTGACGTCCAGGCTGCTGACGCTGCTGGTGGAGCTGAGGAAGGAGACCCCGTTCTTGGCCTCCACCCTGAGCGTGTAGTTAGTGTGTGGCTCCAGCTCTGTCACTGTGATGGTGGTGCCGGTCAGGCCCGTCCGCGGGGAGAACCTCACGCTGGACTCGCACGGCACACAGCTCCCCGCGTCCCACCCGCACCGCTCGCACAAGACGTCGTAGGTCACGTCGGCCCGGCCCCCCGTGTCCACTGGCGGCTTCCATCTCAACTGCACTGTGGAGCCGATGGCAACAGCACTGAGCTCCTGAGGCACAGACGGTGGCCCTACAGAGGGAGAGAGAGAGAGCGCATCAAATCGGAGAATCTCACAGCACAGAGGGAGGCCATTCAACCCATCGGGCCTGTACCGGCTCTTTGAAAGAGCCACCAACCAGTCCCACTCCCCCCCGCTCTTACCCCACAGCCCCAAATCAGAGAGATTTGTTAATAAAAATAATTAGAATAACCATTGCAGTGAGGCGAGACGTTTCATCGATGCAGGACTCCATGAGGGGCAGAGGCAGAGGCACACGATTGAGAAGGGAGTTGAGATTTGGGTTGATGACCTAAGGGAAGCAGGGTTCCAGGGATGAGGAGGTAATGTATACAAGCGTACTCACGGGTACACGCGGAGCTGGAAGAGTCTCCAGGCGCACGGTAGAAGCCTTCCTCACAAGGGCAGGAGGTTGATCCCGGGTTAGAGGGTTGGGTGTTGGGGGGACACTCTCTGCACGGAGTGTTGGCTGCCTCTGATTTGAAGAAACCCGCTTTGCATTCTGTAAAAAAAAAACAGACACAGATCACAGGTTAATCAATCTGTAATAATCCGCACATTTGATCATTTGATATCGTGCCCAAACATTTCAAGACTGCCTCAGTGACAACTGGTGCCCAACACATTGCATTGTACATGTTCACAGTGGCTTTCGTCATCAGGAGGGTTTCTCAAAACGCTTCACGCTGCATGTTAGGTACACCAGCTCAGGGTGGGGAGGGGGAAGGGGGTGGCAAGACGCCCGGTCACCGACAAAAAGGGGAAGGGTCTCGGAGGGCTCAGGGTCTGGGTTTAAACGTCTCGAGGGGGACGTGAATAATAATAATTACAATAATCATCCTTGCATTTGATATCGCGCCTTATCATGTCTCAAAGCGCTTCTCAGGATATACTGTAAAGTGAGTTGACTGTATACTTTTGAGGGTGAAACACGGCAGCCGATTGCGCACAGCAGCGTCCCCACAAACAGTTGTCGTGTTGATATTCAGGACAATCTGCCACATCCCAGGGCAGCCAGTGCCCGCCATGTCACTTTCTCAATCTGACTCAATCCGGCTCCAGCCTGGAAACACGCTCCTGACCCCGAGTAAACAAACTGGGTTATTCTTAGAATTCCTTCTGGCCGCAGAAGCCTGAGAAACCCAATCTCCCCATTACATGGGAACTCAGTGGCCGCTGAAATCACATCAGGCTCCAGGGTCCTGTGGGACCCAAATCGCAGCACAGAGCAACCCTCCTCAGCGCTAACTGCTCACTTGGTTTCCCGAGGTGAAAGGCGCCATACAAATGCCATTTGTTGTTGTTTGTGGGACTTCGCTGTGCGCAATGGTGCTGCTGCGTTTTGCCGAAGAACATGCAGTCGTTCCAGTTCGTAGTGAATCCCGTGAAGTGCTTTGAGACGCCCTCCTGGTAGTGATCAGGCTCGCTACCGAATGCAAGAATTATTATTATTATTACTAACATCGTACGTAAACCTTGAGGGTGGCAGCAGGAAAGAAGCCAATACAGTGCGTCACGAGGAAAAAGCTGAGCCAGAGAGAGAGCGAAGGTGACCCCAGCAACATCGAAGAGGAAGTTCTACCGACTGAGTTTGAAGTGCAATCAACTCGTGAAAGCATTTGAGTAACTCTACACACATTGCACCAGGGGAGAAACTGCCTGCTCTCTTCCAGCCATATCATGTGGTCTTTAATGTCCACCTGAAGGGGTGGCACAGACAGGGTCTGGGTTTAAAGTCTCTGAAAATGCCATGTTTCCCCTCCCACCACCACCAGGACTGTCCTGGAGTTTCAGCACAGGCTGTGAGCTCAAGTCCAAACATGGGGCTTGGACTCACAACCTTCTGACCCGCAGGTGTGGAGCACAGCCCAGAGGTAGAGATGGGATGGAAGGAGAAGAAGCCTTTGAGAGGCTGGAGGGGTGTCTACACAGCACTGGTTCAACACAGGAAACGCTTGGCAGGTTTGGGGTCAAACCTATCCCCCCATCACTGCCTCCACTGCTAGGGCAGGCGTTCCTGTTGCACTCGCTATCAGCCCAGCCCAACGGCTGTAACAAAGAAAACGCCTCACCCCCCCCCCCCACCCCCCACCCCTCGCGCTCTCACGTTTCCAGGGCCGATCAGCAGCTGTGCCGTTTGGGCAGCTGTGACACTTCATTATCAGCCGGTGTGTCATTGCCAACGTAACCTTGCCATAACCTCAGCGCATACAAACACACCCGCGCACACACACACGCAAATCCCCAACCGCCCCCTCCGGATATTCAGTCAAACCCCCCCCCCCCCCACTGGTTATTTTTGAGGCTCGGTCATTTCGCACAAGCGCTTAAGTGAGATGGGGTGGAGGGTAGGAAGTGTGGGGGGAGGGAGGAAGGGAGGGAGGGAGGGAGGGAGGGGGGGGAAAGCATGTGGGAAGGGTATGGATCTGGTAAACGGGCTTGGTTTATCGCTGGCTTCCCGGAACAACAAAAAAGATCCAAAACAGTGACTGGTGTTGGCTTCAAAGTTCTTGGCGACAATGCAGTGTGTGATCAGACAGTACTGTACATCTAAACACACACGGTCCTTCCTGGCTGGAACGTTTGGCGGCCTGGGGGAGTGCGATGGTGTGTGTGTGTGTGGGGGGGGGGGGTGGGGGTTGGTGGTGGGGGGAAAGAGAGATGGAATGTTGTGAGGTCGTGTGAAAGACCCCTTCGCGTTTGAACCTCAACCCCCGGCTTTGGTTTGGGAATGTTTGCCCTCTGTGTGACTGGGTGCCCCCCCCCCACCCCGCACACACACACAGCCTCAGCTGCCCCACCCGACACAAGGAGCTTTTATATTCCGCCCCCACCCCCACCAGGTCGGGAAGTGCTCCGTACGGCCAGCTGGAGTGGGCCTTGTGGCCGGAGCACATGTGTCCTCAGCTGCCGAGCAGGTGCCGGGAGGGGAAAGCGGAATAAATCCCAGGAATTCCCACAGGGTTATTGATGAAAGCCGCGTTGGGAACGGGCTGCACCGAGCCCCCCCCCCCCCCCGCACCACCACCCCCGCTGCCCCTCCCCTTTCATTAACTCGATCTATTCATGAGTTACAATAGCCCGATTGTCAGGCAACTGTGTTGACCCAAGAGAGGGGTTTGCTCCCCGCGACTCGCTTCTCTGCAAAGCATTTTCCCCCCCACAAAACACACAGTCACTCCACTTTACAGTGTATTTTGTGAAGCGCTTTCAGGCGTCTCGAAGACAAGGCAAGGATTATTATTTATTATTTATTATTACGATTGTGTTATTGCGTTAGAGAAGCGATTGCAATGCAAGTTCTTTCTTCCTTGTCGACACACACTGCGAGCCAAAGCCCCTTTTTAAAGTGAAAACTTGCCATTTGCAATGTCGTCTGCTCTACTCTCTCTCCCTCCCCCACCCCCAGCCCAGCCCGCCCTCCGTTGGTTAGTCAGTCAGCTTCTACCATTTCAGGGAATGGCCGCCCCCATTACCTCCTTCAGCAATACCTGGGTGTGGACGAAAAGTGGTGAGCAATCTTTGTTCATCAAAGAGGCCTTCATTAAACATTAACCATACCATGCAATTGTCAGGCTGTCCCCAACCCAATCTTGGCTCAGGTCCAGGCCAAACCGGGCAAAGGATGCAATGTCAAGGTAACAACTCAAGACCCTCCTTTTTACCCTCCGTGGAGGTGTTGAATTAACCGGAAACAGGGTGGGGTGGGGGGGGGTGGGCGGGGGGAAGCTTCAGTCATTTAATTTACTCCACAGCCCAGAAAGCATCTTCGTGCTTTGAGATTTAATAATGATAACAATCCTTGCATTTGATACCACGCCTTATCGTGTCTTGGAGACGTCTCAAAGTGCTTCACAGGATACACTGGAAAGTGCAGTGACGGTGGGGGCTAAATGCGGAAACCAAGTGTCCCACAAACAGTCCTTTAATTTTTTTTGGCAGAAAATGGTGGCAATTGACGTCATGCATTCTCTCTCTCCCCCCCCCCCCCATATTCCGGTAGAAGCCAAGTGACAGGAGACATTCTTGCCAGGAGTGGAGAGGCTCCAGGACCTTCCCCAGCACCGCGGGTTAAAGAGCAGCCAGACAGCCAGAGGTCACCGGCTCTTGACCTGTGTTTGTCAGTGAGCGAATCTGAAAGGAGGTTGAAAGCCGGGGGTTTAGCACATGGAATTTAGGAAAGGGATTTAGGAGAGGATAACAGGCCCCGTCATTAGGAGCGAGCTGTCAGCGCCGGCCAGGCCCACAGTTCCGCCGATGTGATCCCTCAATTAAGCAACAAAACAAACACAAATGCATCAGTTCCTGGTGGACAATGAAAGCCCCAGTGACTGGGTCTGGCTCACTTACTGACGAGGATTTGACCTGGAAAATCAGGGCACGGATATGACAAATAGAAATGGATGATTAGTTAAGAGCGCACCTCAAACTATCTGCCCCCCCCCCCGCCCCCCCCGCCCACCCTCTCTTCACCCTCCTACCTCCACCCCCACCCACCCGATCCCAATCTCCAGCTCAGGTACCAATCCCTGGCTGTCCAGTGCCCTGGGACATCCTCCCGACATAAAAGGCTCTGTGTAAATGTAATGTGTTGGTGTCGGGACTCCATCCAAGTGATGAGAAAGGTATCAGACAGGATAGGCTGAATGTGGGGGAGGAAGCCAGGACATCCAGATCCCAGAAGAGGGCAGCTCAACACCTTCCTCACGTACTCCCGTATCTCATGCAACAGTGAGCGGAAGTCCACAGGAAGTTAGGCCAGAGTCGCAGCCGGAGCTATTGAGCACTTCCTCTGGAATCATTGACTACATTCCGACCGGAATCTATTAATAGAGTGAGGTCACCGGCTAAATCCGGGGCAGGGGAGGTGGTGGGGGTGGGGGGGGGGGGGAGGAGGAAGGAGGAGGAAGGAGGGTGCGTGTGTGTAGCACAAGGTAGCTTTTGGGCTGGCAAGGTGTGAGGGGCAGCAGGAGATGAGCCCGGGTGCACGCACGTATGCACACGCACACACAAACATGGAGAGAGAGAGACACACACACATACACACAAAAAGACACACACACCCACCCACCCACACCCACCCACACACACACACAGACAATCAACCTCCGGCCAGAAGTACGGAAGTGAGCAAATGGTTGAAGAATGTCACAGGAATTCAATAAGCACCACAACGACACACAGCAGCTTCGATGAATGTGGCTAAGTTAAACATGTCAAACCTGTCCGAGGCGGGCAGGCCAGGACCTGCTTCCCACCCACCCACAGCTCCAGAGATTTCCCATGACTTCAGCCCATGAAACACACAGTCACCACACTTTACGGCATATCCCGTGAAGCGCTTTGAGACATCTTGACGACGTGATAAGGCGTTGTATCAAACGGAAGGATTATTACTCATCATTCCAACTTCACTGAGGGCGGTGGGTGAGAAAGGGCGGGGGGGGGGGTCGACAAGGTGGGTTGGAGGGTGGGGGCAGAGTGGCTGAAAGTGGGTGGGAT